GGAATGCAGGGGGAAGAAAGCTGCTCCTCTGGGAATGCAGGGGGAAGGAAGCTGCTCCTCTGGGAATGCAGGGGGCAGAGGCTGCTGTGCTGTTCCCAGGTCAGATTGGATCCAGGTAGGAATGCTTGGCTCCTCCCCTGGGTGGAGCATCTCCCCATGGGATGATGGAATTTTCTCGGCCATGCAGGGACACTCAGTGGCCATGAACAGAAGATAATTAATAATTAATAGCCTATTAACAGATCTTCTGGAGGGAGGATTGGCTGTGGGAGAGATAAAGAAAACTGCCCCATGGACAGCAGAGAACTGCCCCAGCTCTGACAGATGGTGACAGAACACACACCCAGCCACATCTTGTAGCCCAAAACAAAACTCCTTTCAGGCAGAAAACAAGAAGGTCCCCCTGAGCCTCCTCCCACGTGCCAAAGCTCCAGGGAAGCAGATTCAGCAGTGCAGTGTCAGCTGTGCTTCACTCCCCAAGACAAGTCACTGGTTTTCTGTGCTGAATCCTCAGGACTGTCATGTTTTCCTTGGAAAAGACTTGTAAGTGTATGCCCCAGCAGCTTTCACAATACACATCAAAGATCTCTGGGTGATGGATTTGTTTGCTGTTTGCTTCTCCGGGATTCCTTCACTAGGATTTGGTGTTAACTGTTATTTATAAATCCCAGCATTTCCCATGGGTTTGATTCCTCCTGTGTGTGCATTGATGGAGATGTTATTGACTCACACTCATTTTCTGAGGGGAGCGGGTTTATTTTTAGTTCTGTATCATTTCATGGGTGAATGAGTGGCAATTTAATTGTTGTGTAGGAATGGGAATGTCAGACAACAGGGAAAACTGGAGCCTTGCTCATCATATTTAACCTGCTGAGTTACTGCACCCTGAGCCTCTGAGCAGGGCTTTGTGTGAGTGGGACAATTTCCAAGGGATGGAGGGACAGGACACAGGGAATGGCTCCCACTGCCAGAGGCAGGGATGGATGGGATATTGGGAATTGGGAGTTGTTCCCTGGGAGGGTGGGCAGCCCTGGCACAGGTGCCCAGAGCAGCTGTGGCTGCTCCTGGATCCCTGGCAGTGCCCAAGGCCAGGCTGGACAGGGCTGGAGCAGCCTGGGACAGGGGAGGTGTCCCTGCCATGGCAGGGGTGGCACTGGGTGGGCTTTAAGGTCCTTTCCAACCCAAACCATTCCAGGATTCTGTGATTCCATGAAAAATCTGTGATAAAGAAGTTCACTCTCCTGTGAAAATGTAAAAAGTTATAATAAAGGACAACAGAAGACAAGGACCACAGAGGAAAGGTTATTACAGCTGGGTGCATCTTGGCACCCTGTTATCTTCAGGGATACTCCTTAAATACCTCCTAATTCCATCAGCCTGTTGCATATTCATAGACCCTTATGCGCAGTAAACTTTTCCCCAAACTATTTTACATTTTCCAAGAACTCTTTAGCCTGGCTCCTCCTTGGGTTCACTTTTTTAGAGCATGCACATTCCTTGGTTGTGGTTTTTGTCCTTTTTTATCATCACCTCAGTTTTGGCTGCCTTCAGTCAGTGAGTGCTGATGGGTGGCAGATCTGTCCAGGTGTCCTCATCCTGTGTCCATTGGGTGTTGTCCCATTCCAGCAGCATTTTAACACAAGCACACTGATATCAGCTATTGCACTACTATGCCTAAGCTTAATTAACAAGAGAAATAAAAACTATATCTTTATAACAAAGTTACTTGAACGTCACGCATACAAAATCCATTTTAACATTTGTGAAAAGCCAATATTATCGTGTGTATCTATAACAAATCCAGTAGGATTCCTTAGCAAGAAGGGGCTCTGTTAAAGGGATTTGCTGGGATCAGTGGCTGCTCAGCTGGGACACAGAAGGTTCCAAGGACCCTCCAGGCTGGGTGCCACGGGGTGAAGTCAGGGCTGGCACACCAGGCAGGTCCTGTGGGCAGCAGGAGAAGGAATTCTGCCCTTGAGCCGTGGTAAGGGCTGAGACCTCACTCTGAGCTTGTGGGGCAGGCACAGCTCCACAGCCATGGGGGGTCACTCGGGTGGCAGCTCCCTGTGCAAATCTTCTCCTGCATTTTGGGTGCAGGAGGGGCAGAAATTCCTTGTGGGGCCATGCAGGAGCAAACAACTTCCTTGGAAAGAGATTCCAGTGTGACTTGGCCATTCCTGGGTCACGGCTCTCTTTGGTGCTGTTGTTCCTAGCAGAAATATTTATAAATACATTATAAAAACAAAAGTTCTAAAAATTTATGACTTTTAAAAATCCTAAGCAGTTATAAATATTATATAATAAAAATATAGTATAAATTTAAAATCCTCAAAATTCGGACTCTGTTTAGGAAGTAGATCTATGGATGATCTTTCCTTGGATAATTCCTGAATTAAGTTTGTATTGATCTCTCTGGACCAGGCTGTGGATGTGCCCCCAGGCAGTGCCCTTTGCTCAGTGCCCAGCTCTCTGCCTCACCCAGGTTATTCCAACGTGGGGATTTCCAGGTGGCTTGTACAGATATTCCTGAAATGTAAGGAAGCTGACATGAATTATTTACCTGAAACTCAGAAGGGTAACAGTGACTCGGGGCAGGCTGCTGGAAAATCATGTTAATTATGATTTTAGTGGTTTCAAAAGAATTATTCTGATTTTAAATCAGGACAAAACCTAACAAATCCCAAAAAGTACAAAAACAGGAGATGCTGGGGGTCACTTTGGGCTGGAACATTTGTTCAGCATTCTGGTTGAGCCCAGCAACCTTGGGAGCACCTGGGGGCAGAGCTCATTCCTGTATTTCACCAAGATATTGAGAAATTAAAGAATTGAGCAGGCAAAGAAACACAGGCAGTTTCTGCCTTAGGAATATTCCTTTAAAAATATAGATCTGTTTTTCTGTGGGGTTGCCTGGTTCAGCTCTGTTTTGCTTTGCCTGTGGCCTGTGGCAAACCTTGAGTGGACCTTGAGTTGGCTGGGGTGGGAGGACGAGGGGAGGGACAGGCAGGTCCCTGTTTGAGACCAGCTCTGAATCCACTCTGGGGCATGAAATTGTCTTTAAAGTGTTCTGAAAGGTCAAATGGGCAGCAGCACAATGGGATTTGTCACCTCTCTGCTGTCACCTGGGCTGGAGGGGCCAAAGCCACCCCTGGGAGGTGACACCGGGCACTGCTCCAGGCTGGGGACTCCTGGTGCTGCTGGAAGAGAAAATTGAGCAGGCTCCACGAAAATTAGGGCCCAGAGGTGGGAGGAAAGGGTGGTGAGCCTGGAAGGGACCCCAGAAACGCTGGGTGCTACAATAATTGTGCACAATGATCATGCAGAGCAGCCTGCTTAAAGGCCTGCTTGGAATGTGGGTTTGGAGTGATCGCCCAGGGCCTGGAGTCCTGTCTGGAAGGGAAAAAACTTCTTGCTGGTGACCAACAGGCAGGGAAGAAGCCAGGTATGGCATGTCCTCCTGCAAATCCCCTGTGTGTGAGATCAAAAGAGGCTCCGACAAGATGTTCTTAAGTTGTAAACTGTGATTTAAGGGAATTTGAAGCAGCACATGAAGGAACAATAATGAACAAATATTTTCAAGTGGGAGAAATCTGTCCCTGCCATATGTTTGACTGACTCATCCCTTCTGCAGGAAGGGATCTTGGAATTGTTTGAACTCTTGCAGCCACTAATGCTTTTTATTTTGGGGGGGAACACAGCACTGGATCCTTCACGGGGTGAGGAAGAGACCTGATCCCTCTAAAGCTTTGGGCACAGGTTAACCCAAGAGTGGTTTGGGTTGGAAGGGCCATAAAGATCCTGCAGTTCCAACCCCACAAATGCCCCCTGTGTGTCTCACAGAATGCTCAGAATCCTTTCTCTCACTCCCACGGCTCCTACCCGTGCTGAGGGAGCCGTGGCTGGTGTGAAAAATGCTTATTTTATGATTGGCTTTTCGCAAATGTTACAATGAATATTATATGTGTAATGCTAGAAAGTTATGCTGTATTAATTCTCTAAAGTAGTGTGTTAAATGTAGTTTTAGGTTACAACATAATGTTGAAATAGAAATCTGTGATGCAGCATTATTTTACTAGCTCAAGCAAGAGATGAGATAATCAAAAAGTTCTTCACACAGAGATGGGGCCCATAGTTACTGCCTCCTCATCAGGAAAGAAAAACATTCTTCCACCTTCTCTCCATCTTTATGGAACCACCAGGATTAAGGGGAAGAAGCTGGGTATGTTTATTTATGGGTATGTTTATTTATATCCTTGTGGAAGCATGTCGGGACTTACTGCCTTTTGATGGACATGCGTACTTTTGATAACCTTTGATCTTTTTTTTTATTACTTGTATTAATTTCTAGATACATAGGATTTTACAATAGGTTAATGCATATTAATTGTGCTGATTTTACATTATACTTACAGCTAGTTACACTTACATCACTGTCGAGGCAGGACGGGAATGAGCAGACTGACTCAGAAGGCTGTGAGAGTAAAACTCCGATTTATTCAAAATACAACACTCTTTATACAGAGGACCAACTCCATTCGTCCTGAAGTGAAAACAACCCACAGCATTGGTGCAGAGTGCTTGATGCACAGTGACAGAACTTAACTATAAACAATGTGAAAAACAAGAGATATAAAGAATTATTTACACTCTTTTCCAACTCTTTCCGAGGTGTCTGCCTGGATAGAAACTCTCAGTTTCTCTCTTTGACTGAATCTGAGACCCACACACTTATATTTAGTTTTTGTTAAAAAGTATAGAAGGAACTCCTAAGGTTATTCCTTTGTTATTGCTTTTAATGTTATTCCTTTGTTCAGAAGGCATGCTTTTCATGACTTAGTGTCCCAGAGCATCCGGACATCCGTAATTCTTTGCTTTTTATTGCCTTGTAAGTGTCCTAACTCTAAATTTTAATACTCTAATTGCGTCGCTATTTTCACAGCCACTTTATTGCTATTGAACATGTTAAAAGCCAAGCGGTTGGCGTGTTTCCCGCTGTGCTGCAGGTGTGGCTGTGCGGGGGCAGCATGGAGGTGCTGCCCTGCTCCAGGGTGGCCCACATCGAGCGCAAGAAGAAGCCCTACAACAACAACATCGGCTTCTACACCAAGCGCAACGCGCTGCGCGTGGCCGAGGTCTGGATGGACGACTACAAGTGGCACGTCTACATCGCCTGGAACCTGCCCCTGGAGGTACAGCCTGGCCTGCTGGGCACTTCTGAAACCTGATTCAAGGAGCAGCTCACGTCCCTAAGCTCAGCCTTAACCCCCACCCGGTGTCAGCCCCAGCAGAGCTCCCCAGGCTCTGAGGGACAGGCTCCAAAAGCTGCAGGGTGTGGAGGGGTTCCTGCTGCTCCCACAGCCTTCCTAGTGTGGTTCTAAGAATTAGAGTTGGACTGTTGTCATGGTTTGATGCCAGTGTCCTCATGAAAGTGCACCTTCCTAAATAAGTGCTGTCAGAGCAGAGCAGAGCCCAGCTTAGAAATAAAGGAGGAAGAACTTTATTAAACTACGACTATGATGAAGGACACACACTAAATTCATTAGAATGAAAACTCTGTAAAACATTCCTCCTCCCCTCACCCAAACTCCTACAGTGAGACACAATTTGGACCTTTAATTAAGTCATCACCCTTCAGATAAGCAATACTGAGTCCATCAGGGGAGAGAGGAGTCTCCCTTGCACCACAAACCCCCAGAAAACACAGCTGCCACCTCTTGTGTTTCCATGTCACACGTGGCACTGCCCGGAGAGAATCTGCCATGGTGACACTCTCCATGTCACAGGGCTCTCACCACCGTGCATGGACAGACCCCTTTAAGGATGCTTTGCCAAGGACCAACAGGAACAGTGTCCAGTGTCTCCTTTTGGGACCACAGTCGCCCCCATTTTCCTCCCACCCTGGGGCCGAGGGTGAAAACAGAGATCTTCATCTTCCTGAAGACAGGGCATTGTCAGAACTCAAAATATCCCTCAGACATTTTTGGATGTTCCAGGCCCAAGTCAGAAACATTTGAAACCCTGGCAGGCAGCTGAAAACAGCTGTGATTTTAGATTTAAACCATAGAACAATTTACCAACCTTACAAGAAAAACAAAAAGTCACAAAAGTTTAAATATTACAGTAAAAGTAGTCACAAAATAAAGAGAAAAAAAATTTAAGTGCTATACAGAGGGGTTTTAAATCTTATACATAAGAATCAGAAGTTTTAAAATAAAAAAAAATTAGGCCTGCCCTGTCCTTCCTCTCTCTTCTTCCTTACCTCCATATTCTTAATGATATTAGCACTCACAAATTAGTTTAAAGTAAAAAGGCATCATTTAATATAAATAATAAGCATTAAAGAAAAACTATAAACATCTAACACATAACATATAATATAAAAGATAGCACCAACCCTAAACAAGGGGGGAGAAGAAAAAAACAAGAGTCAGAGAGGATGTCAGGGTGCATGTGTGCCTTCACCTGAGCTGCTGAACAGATCACAGCAGCTCAAAAAAAACCTCTTTAAATAACATGCAATAAACTACCTTGAAAGCAGACAACTAAAAACTACTAAGTCTTTTTTTAAAAGCACAAGTTAAAAAAGAAACTTTCCCACCACACAGAGCCACCCCCAACCTAGGGGTGAGCTCTGGCAGGGCATCATCACACCCTCCTCAGCTTTCTCTGCTCACCCCATTCCTGTGCTGGTAGTTGCTGAAGCAGGTCTCTTGGCTCACTATTGTATCCTCCTAAAAATTCAGTCTTTCTCCAGGCTGCATGGCTTCCCCTCTCCCACCCAGCCCGTGGCTGGGCAGGGAGGTCTCTCCAAAGACACAGATCTCAGGGAGTTCTGCTTTTAACCCCTGTGTTCTCAGAAATGTGTCCAGCCTTCAGTGGTCACTCCAGGTGCCAATATCCAAACGTGACACTGCTTGGTTTGACCCCAGCTTCTTGAGAAAATTCACTTCCACGTCAAACCACGACAACTGTGGTGTCCATCTCCCCTGTTCCTGAGTGTTCACCCAGCGTGGGGGATGTCCTGACGCTGCTCTGCAGGTGGAGTCTGTCTGCAGACAGATTACAGCATCCTTGGTGCCTCAGCTTTGCTCCTGTGTCCCTTCCAGCCCAGCTCAGGTTCCCAGCTCATGGACACAGATCCCTCCCAGGGCTCCCCAGGGGCGGGGGCTGTTTGTTTTCCCAGTGCTGGAAAGTTTAAAGGTAAAGGATTGGAGGTTGGTGGCTCACAGGAGGGATTCCCTTGCTCTTAAACCTTCTCCTTAAAAAGTTTTGGTGGTTCCTTTGATTTCTGCCCAGAAATGGTCAGGTTTTCTCAGATCTGACACATTAATTTTGGTGTAAATCCTGCCACGTCACAGCTCGGTGAAACTCTGGAAAACCACAAGGTTCCACCAGGTGAGCATGTCCAGGGACACATCCTGCACAGGAATCACTGCCTGCACTTTTGGGAAAGCTCCTCAGGCTCCAGGAGGGATTTCTGCTGCTGCTGGGGCTCTGCCCTCCCTGCAGGTTGTGTCTGATCTTGGAAGCCAAGAGCATCTCCTGGTTCCTGGCTCCAAGCCCTGCCTGGAGCAGCGCTGGCAGGATCCATGCCCCATTCCTGCACTGGCACTGCCAGGGAGGTGGGCAGGGGAGGCAGGGATGCCCCTGGGTCATGGGTGGGATGAGCAGCTGAATGAGCACTGGGGGCTGCTCCTTTCCCTGGGAGGTCAGACCGGTGCCACAAGTGTCCAGCCCCACTGGGTGCTACAAATGAGCACAAAATATTCCTGCTTGGCCAAGGCTCAAAGAGCTGCTGAGTCCTGGAGCTGCTGAGGGAGCACCCCCAGCTGGAGTCTGCTGCAGGCCTCTGGAAAAACTGGAAAGCACAAAATCCTGAGCTGCTGCTGCAGCTTGCAGAGGGAAGGTGACACCTGGGGACAGCAGTCACAGCTTTGTGCTGCATTGGGAACAGCCTGGGAAGGGGCAGGAGCTGCAGGTTTGTGGTCCTGGGGGTGGGAGACCAGAGCCAGGTGGTACAAAAATAGCAGGAAATACAGGAATAGAGATGGAAAGGAAAGCTGCTTTCCCAGGGAGCTGCAGGAGGGCTCTGGCTCTGACAGGCACCACTCCAGGGGCTGGGAGAGCGGGAGCTGACTCCAGGACTGAGGGAATTTGGGGATCTTAAAAAGAGGCTTCAAGATCCAAGTGCTCATGGGCAGGGATGAGAAGTCCTGATCCTTGGGCTGATTCCTTTTTAGAGGTGAGGCATCATTCTCCTGCTCAGGAACAGACTGGGAGCATTGCAGAAAGAATTAAAATCCATCCTGTGCTTGCAAAAGGCAGCATCACGTGGATCAGCACACGGGGTGGGAACAGGCCTGGGTGACCCAAAATCAGCTTGAGATTTTTATGTAGTCTTTCCAGCAGGTCTGGGTCCCCCAAAATCCATTTGAGATTTTCATACTGGTCTTTGCCCAATCAAATCAAGATTTAATTTGAGGGAAGCCTTGTTGGGAGGGGGAGGTTTTATGGCTGTGCACTGGATTATTTTGTGATGCCAAGGCAAAGCCCTGCCCTGCCCATCCCAGGTGCTGCCTGGCAGCTCTGGGCCCCACCTCACCCACTCCCATCTCAGATCTCAGCCTGTCCTGCCCCTCTCCACTGAATAATCATCTTTATTTTTACCTCTCAGCTACCAGGGGCACATTGAAACGCTGTCTCTTCTAAAGCAGAGTGAATAATTCATTAGGAGATCATTACAAGCATTGTAATGGAAAATTGCTTTCCCAGTTGTGCTTAATGATCTCTGGGAAAGACAAGAGCAGGAGCTGACCAGAGTGGAAGCCCAGGCCTGTAGGAAGAAGGAGCTGCTCCCTTTGGCTTCCCTTAGCTCCCCAAATGCCCTGGTGGAACAAAGGGGGGCAGCTCTCCAGCCCTGCTCCCAGCTCCTGCTGGGCTGTTCCTCAGGGACAGCTTTGTCTGCAGAGCAGTGGGGCTCTGCCATGTCTCCAGGGAGACCATTCCACCCTGGAACTGCCCAAATTGCCAAGAGCTTTTGCTGAGGTTCAGCCTCAGCTTTTCTTCTCATGCAATTTTTATCCTTTATTCTCAGCTGTGTGCCTCTGCTATATTTGAATCTTAAACTTTTCTCTTTTTCCTTCATTCTTTTCCCATTTATTTTACACCTTTTACCCCTCCCTTCCTCTGGGCTGTGTCTCAGTGGGCTCAGGGAAAAGGTTTGGTGCTCAGTGCCCAGGAAGGGTCTGCATTTCCATCTTTTAAATCCTGATATCCACTTGCTGCTAAACCTGTGCCTCAGGAACCCAAACAGGAGGAGCAATCTTTTAAAAATACCTTGTCTAAAAATACAGATCAGATGGATCCAAACCCAGGAGAATCGGGAGAAGACTCCCAGTTTCACTGCACTTCCCAACCTTCCTCCAAACCTTTTCTTCTCCCTTTGGCTCCTCTTTTGTCAATTATCCCCAGGGGCCTGTCCAGCACCAGCAGAGAAGTTGGTGTCCCCCCTCTGGAACCCACATCTTCCTTCTGATGATTTTGGCCCCGGACACACATCCCAGAATTCCTGGAATTACTCAGCCACAGGCAGTTTGAAAAGGATCTCAAAGCTCTGGGAAATACTTTCATTGTACCTTTTTTTGGAAATGTGACCGTTCAGTGATGTCCTGTTGTTGTTTTTCAGAATCCAGGGATTGACATTGGGGATGTTTCTGAGAGGAAAGCATTGAGGAAGAGCCTGAAGTGTAAAAATTTCCAGTGGTACCTGGACCATGTTTATCCAGAAATGAGGAGATACAACAACACCATTGCTTATGGAGAGGTAATTTAGTCCCTTAGCTCAGCCTGCTAATATTTACAGTCCCTGATGAGAAACAGCCTCAAAGGAGAGGAGTCTGAATCAAAATTGACTTTTTATGTGTAATTACCTAAATTTGCATAAATTTGCTCCCAGTTTCTTCTAAAAACCAGTTTGGGGATTTGTTGCTGATCTTGACTGTATAAAGTAAAAGATGTTAATACATCATTTAGTGAATTGACAGAAATTATCCATATTTCCTATCGACTCCATTGGATTAAGCAGCTCTATTTGTATTTTTAATACACAGGCATCTTCTAAAACCCTGTGACTTGAACTCAGCCTGATTCCTGACAAGGTCTCTGGAGGATTCAGTGCCTTGTCACAACAGCTTAAGGACAAGATAACATGAGGGGACTTAATTCAATCTCTGTTGGCTTTCAAACCATTCTGGGAATACAGAAAAGAGTCATTTATGGGAACTAATAACAAATACTCTGCTGCAATGGAATTGATGGACTAGTGGCACTTGGAGTAAGCTTCTCAAAGCCTGGGCACTCCAGATGGGTTATTCATTTTAGGAAAGATTTGTTACCAAAGTTACTTAGGGCCTTCAAGCTAAAACCTCCCAAAAAAATCCTGTTTTCATAGAAAATGAAATTTCAGGATGGTTTGGGGTAAAAAAAAGCCCAGCTGGAACAAGGATCTGATGATTCCAAGGTGATCTTTGTTCGAGTTGGGCTTTTTTCCCTTCCTTGTTGAGCACTTTGAGATTTCACTGAAATCTGAGGGGTTCTACATTGATTTCTGGCAGCCTAAACCTGCCTTTGTCCCCACCACCATGACCAAACACAGAACCAGCTGTGGCCAGGGATGCTGCTCCTTGGAATGGGGATTATGATACAAAACCAGTCATCATTAGCCTTGGATTTACAGAAAGGTTTAGTGATCTGCAAGTTTTCTTTTCCTGATTATTCCTGGTGATACAGCAGTGAGAGCTACAGAGGGTAGAGAGGGCTGAGCATCCATTTCCTGCTTCTTTCTGATAAGAGAGGGCCATAACTCTGTCCCTTTTGTGCCATAACTCTGCCTCTTTTGTGCCATAACTCTGCCCCTTTTGTGCCATAACTCTGCCCCTTTTGTGCCATAATTCTGCCATTTTTTGTGCCCTAACTCTGCCCTTTTTCTGCCGTAATTGTGCCTTTTTTTGTGCCTTAACTCTGCCCCTTCTGTGCCATAACTCTGCCCCTTTTATGCCATGATTCTGCCCTTTCCCCACCTTTTTTCTGCAATTTTTTGTGCCTTAACTCTGCCCTTTTTCTGCCATAATTCTGCCACTTTTTGTGCCTTAATTCTGCCCCTTCTATGCCATCTCCGCCCCTTTTGTCCCTTAACTCTTCCCTTTTTCTGCCATAATTGTGCCATTTTTTTTGCCTTAACTCTGCCCTTTTTCTGTCGCAGCTCTCCCCCTTTTATGCCAAAACTCTGCCCCTTTTATGCCATAACTCTGCCTTTTTTTCCACCCTTTTTCTGCCATTTTTGTGCCCTAACTCTGCCTTTTTTCTGCCATAATTGTGCCAATTTTTTTTTGCCTTAACTCTGCCCCTTTTGTCCCTTAACTCTTCCCTTTTCCTGCCATAACTCTGTCCTTTTTCTGCCATAATCCTGCCATTTTTGTGCCTTAACTCTGCCCCATTCTGTGCCACAAGTCTCCCCCTTTGTCCCTTAATTCTGCCCCCTTTTCTGCCATAATTCTGCCACTTTTTGTGCCTTAATTCTGCCCCTTCTATGCCATCTCTGCCCCTTTTGTCCCTTAACTCTTCCCTTTTCCTGACATAACTCTGCCCTTTTTCTGCCATAATCCTACCATTTTTGTGCCTTAACTCTGCCCCCTCTGTGCCACAAGTCTCCCCCTTTGTCCCTTAATTCTGCCCCTTTTTCTGCCATAATTCTGCCACTTTTTGTGCCTTAACTCTGCCCCTTTTTCCCCTCCCAGCTGCGGAACAACAAGGCCAAGGACGTGTGCCTGGACCAGGGCCCACAGGAGAACCACACAGCAATCCTGTACCCGTGCCATGGCTGGGGCCCCCAGGTGAGGCTGGCACTGCCAGGGCCAGGTGGCACCAGAGGGGACAGCCTGGGGCTGTGCCCTTGGCTCTGCAGTGTTAAACACACCTCGGGGCTTTTCCCTGCAGTGTTTGCTGGATTCCCATCATCCTGCCAGAGCTGCAGGGAAAAGCCTTGAGGGAAGCTTTCAATTCACCTTTGTGAACTGAAAACGTTGGAAAGCTGAAATTTTTGCAATTTGCAGCAAAAAAAAATGAAATTTGTAGTTTAAAATCAAATCTTCCAGACAAAGGAAGATAACAATAATCATGGATGGACACCAAATCAAAAAGGGAATAAAAAAAAAACAAACCCAAACAGGGAACAAAAGGCTGGAAAAAAACAAAACCAAGCAGGGATAAATCTGAGAATTTCCTTCCCAAGGCCAGGTTGGATGAAAGGTTGGAATAAGATTATCTTTAACATTCCTTCCAACCCAACCCACTGTAGGATTACTTCTCTTCCACCCAGCAGAATAAACCCAGACTAATGGGGTAAAGAAAACAGTGCTGTGGTAATGAGCCATTTCAGCTTGGCTGGAATTGGTTTTCCAGCACTTCTTTTGCCTCACTAAAAGTTTTGGAGCATCTGGGGCCCAGCAGGCTCGAGGAGGTTCATTTTCAGCTAAAAAAAAAATGTACAGTTCAAGGAATGGGAAAGCATAAAAATCCTGTTCTCACTCCACAGTCACCCTGGACTAAGTGATCCCAGAGTTCATCTGAGCCTGAGCTGGGAACTTGAGGAGCTGGGAAGCAGCTGTGGGGTGGAGAAAATCCCACCTTGGGTTACCCCGGCCTTAAACAAAGATCAGTCCCTGGGGCTGATGGAGTCCCTGCTACACAGAACCTGCTCTTGCCCAAAAACCCCATTTTTCTCTTTTTCTTTTTAAATGGCACCAACTGCCTTTTGCACCTTGTGGCTGGAAATCTGAGCCTCTAAAGTGCATTATTGTGTGAGAAACTGGATTGGGCTGCCACAGCTGCTCACCCTGGGCTTTAGGGTGAATGGCTGAGAACAGGTTATTTATTTTCCCCTCGGTGTTATTGGGATTAAGTTTAACAATGTTTTCTTTCCCTACGTGAGGTTCTGAAGTCAAATTTTTCTGGCTGCCTGGAGCTTGCCCATTTCATCCTTCTTGGTCTTCCCCCTCCATATCAGCCCTTCCCTCTTCAGCTGAGAGCCAATTCTTGGCAGCTCCTTTGTTTCCTGATACATCCAATTGTTGAAACTCCTGGGAAATGCTGGTTTTAAGGAGCTATCAGTGCATGCAGAAGCTTTGAAATGGCACCATGAAGGAAATTGGACTTTCCCTACAACTGTTTAATTAATGGGCTGCAGGTTGTAATTTAGGGCTGGGAATGGAATTAGAAGCAATGGAAACTCTGGTTTGGATATATATATATATATATATATATATATATATACACATATATATGTTTAATTTTTATTTATTTTTACGTGCATGCAACCCCACAATGAACTGTTGAGCTCCTTTGGAGTTGCTCACACCCCAAAGCACACGTGGTGTCCTAAAATCCCCCCTTCTCTCCTTGATCCTGGGCCCACCCCAGACATTGTGACATCCCAGACACTCCTTATTCCAGAATACAGGAATGGTTTCACTGCCAGCCTTGGCAGGAATGAGAGAGGGGCAGCTGTGGGCTCCCTGCTGGCACTGGCACATCCTGGGGACAGCAGGGCCATGCCTCCTGCTCCTGCCACACCAGGGGTCTTCTTGGAAGCCCTCCCTCCTCCTAAATCCAGTCCCAGCCCACCCCTCTGGCTGTGGATCCCCAGAAGGAGTGTTGGGTGTGCCAGGAGGGATCGGTGCCATTCAAGGACACCTCGTGTCCTGTCCCAAATTTCTGCTCTCCTGTGACTGCCCATGGATTTCAGCTCAGCCTGGATGCAGTTCAGTGGTGGCTCTGAAGGCAGGTGAGATCTTGCCTTTACTCACTCATCCCCCACCGAATAAAAATTTAGGGATTATTCTCTTATTTTCCCTTCATCTTTCCATTCTCTCTGCTTCCATTCACTTCCAGGTCAAATCATGATGAGATTCCATCATCATCCTTTTATCCTGTAATTATCTTGAGGCTGCTGATGGATTTTTTCCCCTGCTTGATGGCTTCATCTTTGAGGCAATCCCTCATGGAAGCACCTTGCTGTAATGATGTATTACACTAATAATGCAGCCATAGCTCATTGCAGTGACACAGCTATGGTGATATATTAAGGTGATAGAAAGCACTATAATGCTATAAAACTTAAGATAATGTTCACCCAGCAGAGCATTTCATTTAATTATAGGATAAAATATGTTTTGCCCATTTAAGCAGTAGAAGCTGAGGACAAAGCCATCAATACTGAGCTCATGGGGGACACAGCAGGAGCAGGGGTGACGAAACAGCACCCTTTAATCAGATCAAATTGTGGCAAAAGGCAAATCCTGAACATTTAACTCATGGCTGCTAATTGATGCTCTGCTCAGAGCAGAAGGGAAGCTAAACAACCTGAAATTATTTTCCAATAGAGTCAATGAAGGTCATCAAGGCTTTTATTTCCCAGGTGCTGGGATGTCTAATTAACTTTCTGCCATCCCTGAGATGCAGCCAGCCAGAAATCACAGCCACGGGAGATGGATTGGAGATGCAGCTTTGCCAGGGGGCATCAGCCCCAGCCCTGAGGCAGCTGAGGCAGCTGGGAAGGGGCTCAGCCTGGAGAAAAGGAGGCTCAGGGGGACCTTGTGGCTCTGCACAGCTCCTGACAGGAGGGGACAGCCGGGGGGTCGGGCTCTGCTCCAGGGAACAGGGACAGGAGGAGAGGGAACAGCCTCAGGCTCGGCCAGGGGAGGATCAGGGTGGATTTGGGGAAATTCCTCCCTGGAAAGGGTGGCCAGGCATTGGAAGTGGAGTCTCCATCCCTGGAGGTGCCCAGGGAAGGAATGGAGGTGGCACTGAGTGCTCTGGGCTGGGGACAAGGTGAGCATCAGGCACAGCTGGGACTGGATGGGCTGGGAGGGATTTTCCAGCCCCAGGGATCCCGGGATTCCCCCCAGGGACAGCTGAAGGTGGGAATATGGCCAGCTGCAGTTTCCTGGATTTTATGGAAGGTTTTATGGAAGGCTGTTCCAGGGGCTGTCAGTCAGTGCCTCTGCCTGGGGATGTGGCTTTGGTTAAAGAACTCGTCAGTTTGAGCCACTTTGAAATGCTTGGCTTGGGAATAGTTTTAAACCATTTTCCTTTGGTCCTTTATCATGGTCTTTCCCTTGCTTCTTGTCCTGTCCCAGGGTGTGTTAGGGCCAGGAGAGGAGCAGAATAACAAAAGAGGAATTAGGGCTTGGAATTAACCTCTCCAGTGAGGAAAGGCTGGCAGAGCTGGGGGTGCTCCCCTGGAGAGGAGAAGCTCCAGGGAGAGCCCAGAGCCCTTTCCAGAACCTAAAGGGGCTCCAGGAGAGCTGGAGAGGGACTGGGGACAAGGGATGGAGGAACAGGACAAGGGAATGGCTCCCACTGCCAGAGGGCAGGGATGGGTCGGATATTGGGCAGGAATTGTTCCCTGGGAGGGTGGGCAGGCCCTGGCACAGGTGCCCAGAGCAGCTGGGGCTGCCCCTGGATCCCTGGCAGTGCCCAAGGCCAGGCTGGACAGGGCTGGGAGCAGCCTGGGACAGTGGGAGGTGTCCCTGCCATGGCAGGGGTGGCACTGGGTGGGATTTAATGTCCATTCCAACCCAAACCAGTCTGGGATTCTATGATCAAGGTCTGGGCTGCTCCTGACCCCTCCTGTGGGGAGCAACTGGAGAATGAACGTCAGGGAGATACAGAACATTTTCTGCTCTGGTACACAGCATTTTCACTCCAGGTGTAACTCCAGCAGCACCTGGGAGCAGAGCCAGGCCCAGCCCAAGGGAGCCCTGACTGGGTCTGGGGTCATGAGCTGCAGTCCAACCCTGTTACATTGTTTTAACTTGATTTCCAGTGTTTAATTATTACAGCCCAGATAACCCAAACTCCCAGTGGGATTTACTGCCTCTTCCCTGGCATCTGGGTCACAGATATGCTCAGTTAATTAACGTGCTGAATCCTCCTTATTTGTCTGCTGGATAATGGCCTGATTCATAATTTAAACAAGCAGCTGTGGAGATCTCTCCCTTGAACTATAGAAGGCAGGACACTGGCGTGCCTTTCTCCTCACTCCAGAATTTCAATGTGTTTAGGGAAATATTTTGGTGTCATTCCATGAAATGGAGGAGTCCTTTGTGTGCCTGCTGTCCCCAAGGGCATCACCCCTGCCTGCTGCTGCCATCCTGCCTCCCCTGGCAGACCCTGGCAGCCCTGGGCAGTTGGATCCTGTGGGAATGGCCCTGGAATCCTGGACCTTTCCTAAGAGCAGATCCAGGCTCCCATCCCAGTTCTGGTGCTGCTGCCTGCTTGGAGCCCTGGAGGCTGTGCCAGGCACCCAGAGGCACCAGCCCAGCCAAGGCTGGCTCACCCAGCACACCAGGAGCTGGGCCAGCAGGACCAGCCAGGGAAAACCATCCATTGCCCCATCCCACCTCGCTCCAGGAGGCTGCAGGAGTCTGCTCCAGCAGGGCTTTAAGGCTTGGGATTATTCCTACCCCTTGTCTCAATTCCTCACCTGCATCTGGAAAAAAACAAACCCAAGCAGGGAATAAAAGGCTGGGAAAAAACCAAACCCAAGCAGGGAATAAAAGGCTGGGAAAAAACCAAACCCAAGCAGGGATAAAAGGCTGGGAAAAAACCAAACCCAAGCAGGGAATAAAAGGCTGGGAAAAAAACAAACCCAAGCAGGGATAAAAGGATGGGAAAAACCCCACATCCAGCTCTGCTTTCCCCGTGCATCCCCACAGAAAGCTCCCAGGGGCTCTGTGTCGTCCTGTCTCTCTGTGCTGATGCTCTGAGGTGCTGAGGGTGTCCCTGCTGTCCCCTTTCTGTCCCCAGCTGGCTCGATACACCAAGGAGGGCTTCCTGCACCTGGGGGCCCTGGGCACCACCACACTGCTGCCCGACACGCGCTGCCTGGTGGACACGGGCAAGAGCCGCTTCCCGCAGCTGCTGGACTGTGACAAGGTCAAGAGCAGCCTCCACAAGCGCTGGAGCTTCATCCAGGTGTGTCTGGGGCTGCCCTCGGGGCTCCTCTGCTGGGTCCCCAAGCCTGGAGCCCTTTGTCCCAGCCCAGCCTGGGACAAAGGGGAAACGGTGCCACGGCACAGCGAATTCCAGGTCCTGGGGCAGAGGGAGGGGATTAAGAGGGATCAGGGCAGCCTTACCAGGATAATTTCTAATCAAAGTTTTCCTCTCTGGTAGCAGAAAGGTGGATCTGGTTATGTCTAATGACTTCCAGATTCCTTTGTGTCTTGTGGAGGCAGAGTGAAATTCATTCAGACACTTGTGTCCCAAAGCAGAGTGTGAATAATACAGCTTTTACAGAAGGGTCCCTCTTCTCAGCAGGATTTAAAGGTTACAGGTGTCCCTTGGGGGCTGTCAGGGACAGTGGATGCTCAGCCCATTTATTTGGGGGATTCTTTTATTGTTTGCATTGCATTCCCACCCAGCTGGGTGCCCCTTCCAGCAGTGCCCTCCTGGTCCTGGTTTGCTTCACAGGCAATGAATATCTTCATTTTTCCATCTTTCCCCACCTGCCCTCACTGCAGAATGGAGCCATCCTGAACAAGGGCACGGGCCGGTGCCTGGAGGTGGAGAACAGGGGCATGGCTGGCATTGACCTGATCCTTCGCAGCTGCACGGGGCAGAGGTGGACAATTAAAAACTTCATCAAGTAGAGGCTGAAAGAGTCAGGGAAGTGTGACTTGAGCCACGGCTGACGGGGACTGATCCGCCTGGACTCCTTTGGAAAGGATGGAATATCAACCACAGCTTTATTTGTGTTCCTGGGAGAGGACCTGGGGGAGATGGGCAATTGTGGCTTTATTTTTACTGTATTTGAGTCTCCCCCAGCTGATCCCAGCTGTGTGGAGCTGCCTCAGAGCTGTTCCCTCTGGCCAGCACTCCAAGAGGTGCCGCATTCCCTGCTGGAGCAGTCTGCGAGCATTTACTGACAGGGAATTTCTGCTTTCCCACACAACTCCAAGCTCTCCCAAAGGGCTGGGGAGGCTTGCACCACGACCCTGGACAGACCTGCCTGGCAAGTGTGGAAACTGAGGAACTTGGGAGAGGAAAAGGTTCCAAGCCCCCAGAGGAGCCGAGTTTGAAGGATGTGGTGTTTTGCTGGGTCCTTGTTCCCTTTTCCCTTTCCTGCCCCTGCATCCAGCAGCCCCTTCCCTGAGTTTTGGAGAAGCAAAACACCCCCCCAGCAGCTCCCAGGGATCTTTCCAACCCTTAATCACAGAAGTTACCCAAAACAATGCAGTGGAATAAACCCCCTGACCTCCCCTTGCCCCCCTCTCCATCACCCACGCACTGCTGGCCAAGCACCTCCCTCCTTGGAGAGCCCAAAGGGCACCTTGGGAATGACCTGGGGTGTCTGCCTGCCCTTCTGGGTGACAGCAGGAATGTTCTCTGAGGCTTGAGCACCCCTGTCCTGCCTGCTCAGGCGTGGCCAAGGTCCCCCCAGAGTCACTGCAGCCCTTCCTGGGCTGGGGAAGGGACAGGGAGGGAAGCCAAGGCACCAACAAATGGCAGCTTGGCTGAAATTCTTGGCCCTGAAGCCACTTCAGGTTTGTTGCTCTGGTGGAGGGATCTCACCTGATTTATTTTTGGCTCACAGTAATCCTGGCTGCCAAATCCACCTGGGAGTCCTCTGCCTGGGGCCCTGCCTGGAGACAGGAAACAGGATCCTGCAGAATTCTGTAGGTGGGTGGACGCAGGCTTTGCTCAGCAGGGAGGAGAAACCAGCCCATCTCCTGTCCTTCTCCCAGAATAATCCTCTTTGGCTGCCCTCTGGCTAGGGTGCACTAAAATAGATTAATATATGAGATGGATGTGTAAATATGTTTCCCAAGCTGGGATGTGCACAGAGTCCTTTGCTGCAGAGCACTCATGCCTGTCTTCCATTTGCATCAGGATGAAGCTCCCTGGATGTTTAACGAGCTGAAGTTCCAATGCCATGCAGCAGGTTTATAACTGATGTTTTAGTAATTTATTGAACAGAAGCAGATATTTCATTGTTCCTTCTGCAGCAGCTAGCATCACCTAGGACTGATTGTTCATTTAGGCTTTACAAGGCTCCCTCAACCACTGGGGCTGTCTCTGATTTTTTTTTCCCTTGCCTCCCTTAATGAAGTAAAACCTCTTAGTTGTCCTGACCTGCAGAGTAGAGAGTCAATGTAGAATTTTGCTCTCTTTTTCGCTGTTGCATCATCCCTTGTGTAATAAATTTGAGCACTTCCAAACCCAAAATGACCACAGCTCTGTGGATGCATGAGCCAGCTCCCCTTGCCTTTGTTGCTGCCTTCTAAGAGAAGCAATTTCCTGGTGACTCCAGGACACCCTGAGGGTTTTGAGACCCCACAGCTCTGGTCCAGCTGGTGAAACGCCCTTAAACTGAGCAAATACTGGAGGGAGAGACTGTGTGGGTCAGGATAAGCAGCCAGACAGCCCCTGGATGTCACCTGTGCTGTAATTCAGCCCAGCTCAGGCCCTGCCAGTGCCCAGGGTGGCAGCAGATGGCTTTTGTCCCATGTCACAGTGGTGGGTGAGGTCCCACAGCAGGGCTGGATGGGACCAGTGGCTGCTCCCTGGCTCCATCCTGGCTGTGCTGAGCCCCTGGCCAGGAGGGCCTGGCTCTGTCCCAGTCCCTGCTGTCCCTGGTGCCACTGTGGTCCCTGTGCCAGGTGGCACGAGGATCCTGCTGCTGCTGAGCTCTGGGATCCTTTGGAAAGTTCAGGCTCTGCCTTTCCTTCGTGCTCCAGGAGGAGCAGCAGCCCCTGGCTCGGCACAGGGAAGGGAAGGTGCAGATGAACTCTGGGCTCCAGGACCCTCAGCTGGGGCAGAGCCCTGGGGAGGCGTTGGCCCCTTCTCCCTGCTCCAGCTTCCAAACCGCTGGGAACAGGAGCAAAATCAGGCTGAAAAGTGGGAATTGGCTCTGCTGTTCTGTCCTGACGCTGTTAGTGACCCCGGGAGAAATCTTGTCTGAGATCTGGGTCTCGTTGTTGCATCTCGCTTATCTCTAATCATCTGTTAATTGCTTTAAGAAGTGATCTCCAAGTGATTCTTATTAAATATCTGGTTTGAGCCTTGCCTCTTGAGTGATTTTCAAAAGATTCTCTGCTGCTGAGATACAGAGGCAGCCATTCCTCTCTGTAACTCATTTAATAGCAAAGCGCTGCTGTTTTAATAAAACTTCCATCTTTAAAAGAAATGGAAATGAAGGAGAGTTCAAGAGAGATGGTGGGCACAGATTAACTGCAATTCCATCCACCCCTGCTGCTGCCACTCACCAGGGTAAGAGTTACACCCCACAAGCTGGAAGGAGATGTAATGTGGTCAATAAAGCAATACTTGCATTCCCAAGCCCAGGCTGGCTGTCCCTAAATGTTCCTGAATGACACCTGGAGCTCTGGAGCTTGGGGCACCCCTTGAACCCATTCCTTCCACCCCTGTTCTCCTGAGCACCGGGTTGGTGCTTTCCTGGTGGAGGGAAGGGTCTCTGTGGGGCACGGCAGGTGAGGGCACCCAGGTGGGCATCACCTGGGCAGGGGCACATCCAACCCTGCTGGGCTCTGGCAGAATGGAACGGGATGGAAACCTTGTGGAACCCTTGTGGGGGGCATTTCCCACCCTCAGGGCTTCCCCAGGGGTAAGATTCATGTTGGAAAATGGCTCAATCTGCTTTAGAACAGATGGAATCGTGGAATCCCAGAGTGGTTGGGGTTGGAAAGGACATCAGAGCCCATCCAGTGCCTTTCCACTGTCCCAGGCTGCTCCCAGCCCTGTCCAGCCTGGCCTTGGGCACTGCCAGGGATCCAGGGGCAGCCACAGCTGCTCTGGGCACCTGTGCCAGGGCTGCCCACCCTCCCAGGGAACAATTCCTTCCCAATATCCCACCTATCCCTGCCCTCGGGCAGTGGGAGCCATTCCCTGTGTCCTGTCCCTCCATCCCCTGTCCCAAGTCTCTCTCCATCTTTCCTGTAGCTCATTCAGGCCCTGCAAGACCACAGTTAAGGTGACCCCAAATCTCCTCCTGTCCAGGTGAACATTCCCAGCTCTCCCAGCCTTTGCTCCCAGCAGAGCTGCTCCATCCTCTGCTCATCCTGCAGCCTCCTCTGGGCTCCTCCAGCAGCTCCAGCTCCTCCTGTGCTGGGCCAGGGCAGCTCTGCAGGTGGGGTCTCACCTGGGCACAGGGGCAGAATCCCAATCCCTGCCCTGCTGCCCACACTGGGACCAGCCCAGGGCCGGGGGTTCAGGGCTGGGCCATGTCCAGTGTCACCCACAGCAACCCCAGGGTTTTCTCCCAGGGCTGCTCATCCCTGCCTGGATGGATCCTGGGAGCTGCCCCAGCTTGAACTTGGCCTTCTTAAACTTCCTGAGATTCCCAAGGGCCACTCCTGGAGCTGTCCAGGTCCCTCTGGATGGCCCCATCCTCCAGGGGTGTCACTGCACCCTCAGCTTGGTGTCACCTGCTGAGGGTGCCCTTGATCCTTCGTGTGTCATTGATGAAGATATTTAAATACCACTGGCCCCAGATCTGACCCTGAGGACACCACTGGTCACTGATGTCCAGCAGGACTCTGAGCCATTGACCACAGCCCTCTGGAGGCAGCAGGGACTCCTCCTCTGCAGGAGCTTTGTGCTGCCCAGGGCAGAGAGCAGAACGTCCAGAAGGTTCTCTCTAAGCCCTCAAATCACACAAAACTCTCATTTCAACACGGAAAGTTGAACTGATGGACTCCCAACGGCAAAGCCTCTGCTTGGGCACAAATCCACTGCTCATGGCCACGGAGCTGAGCACTCCAGGGTGGAAGGAGGCCCTGGGAACTCTGCAGCTCCTCCTCGCAGGTGGGAAGCCATCCTTGCTTGGGCTGGGACTGGAAAAACATCTGTGGCCATCAGGAGTTACCCTAATGTGACATCCCC